GCACTTCTCTGCAAAACTTCAGTGACCCTCGTGAGATATGCTTTAGTGTCATTCCGTGGCAGGCTCTTCCAGGCCCCCCATGCCCGTCTGTATTGGATGTCATGTGGCAGTAAACTCTGGTGCCAGAGGGCCTGGACCTCGCTCTGCTTAAAGGCTGTGCCGACTGCAGCTGCGCCTCTAGAATCATATCATTTCAAGGGTCACAACTCACGCTCATGGGGGATTTTTATATAGCAAGAGTATGCTTTCATCGCCGATGGAAGAAAGCCATGCTATAAAAGTGAAATAAAAACCAACGCATTAAGCTCACTGAGCTCAAACATTTTCCCAAAAGTACCCCGTAGTGGGTTGAATAGCATCCCCTAAAAGGATACGTCCAAGTCCCAACCCCCGGTTCCTGTGAACGTGACCTTATTTGGAAATAGGGGCTTTGCAGGTGTGATTAAGTTAAGGATCTTGAGATGTGATTAACCTGGATTTACAACGGACCCTACATCCAATGACTGGTGCCCTGGCAAGAGCAAAGAGATAGGCATTTGAGACAGAGGAGAGAGCACAGGGAAGAAGACAGAGGCAAAGTCTGCAACTGAGCCGCCAGGAGCCAATGACACCAGGAGCCACCAAAAGCTGAACCCTGCAAGAAGCAATTCTCCCTAGAGTCTTTCTGGCTTCCAGAACTGTGAACGAATACATTTCTGTTGGTTTAGGCTACCAAATTCATGGTAGTTTGTTGCGCCAGTCCTAGGAAACTAACGATACGCATCCCATATGTTCCTTTTAATTAGTAACATGAAACCTCGAGCCAAAAAGTCATTCACTGTTTTACAGACAAGTGATCAATGGGCTCGCCATCCCAAAAAAACCCATTTGTCCTCCATGCACGTTGGTTCGTTGTGGTTTTGATCACTATTTACATTAGGGAAAGGAATTAGTGCAGGGAAGAATGGCACGCAGAACCTCCGACCTTCCACGGTGATTGAAAACAGGAGTCTTCTAGGATTCCGTCCTAAAATCGGAGTCAAGGGCAGAAAACCGTGAAACTGAACAAAACCTCTGCTTTTCTTTGGGCCTGGAGCCTGGTGTCGAGGTCAGGCCACGTGTCCTTTCTCCAGACCTACTCTCAATCTTCCTGGCATTAGAGATGACTGCTCACCTATTCGCTGGTGAAGCAGCCCCGGGCGGCTACGGAGTTGGGCAATCTGGCTGGGGTGGCAGCACCCACCTTCGAACTGTAATAAGCACAGGTGAGTGACCGAGGGATGAAAAGGAAGTAAAGAGAAACCATCACAACCTGGGGAAACTTTCCAAGGCTTCATCACAAAGCTGGCAACTGACATGGGCCTTAAGAAGAGTAGACTCTTGAGAAGTAGGACAGAAAAACAAAAAGTGAGGCCCCTGGGCGGCTCGGTCGGTTAAGCGTCCGACTTTGGCTCAGGTCGTGATCTCACAGTTCATGATTTCAAGCCCTGCTCTGGGCTCTGTGCTGACAGTTCAGAGCTTGGCGCCTGCTTCAGATTCTGTGTCTCCCTCTCTCTCTCTCTCTGCTTGTCCCCCGACCATGCTTTGTCTCTGTCTCTCCAAAATAAATAAACGTTAAAAAAAATTTATAAAAAGACAAAAACAAAAAGATGTTTAGCTAACAAATGTGACATGGGCAAAGACACCAGGAGGGAAAGCAGTGTGACTGCACCTGTCACAAGCAGAAACTAGAGAAAGCAAAATCAGAGAATCCGGGGAAAGAGGAAGCATGAAAGAAGGCACGGATGGTCAGCACAGAACTGTGTCCTGCACACTGAGAATACAACATCACACTTCTTTGTCTTGTAACCTTCAAGAGAGCAGTGTTCATGTAGTCAGGCAGGGGGCAGAAACCAGACTTCACAGTGGATGGGTGCTAAAGAAGACAGGGAGGGGGGCACAGTGAACAACTCTTTCAAGACATTTGTGCCAGCCACAAAGGAAAGCAAAGGATGGCAATTAAAGGGCTTGGCCATATCAGGATGAATTTTCAGTCAGGGGAGGCCTCAGCATATTTCTAGAACAAGGGGAAAGAAAGAACCAGTGGAACAGAGAGAAATACAGATTGCAAACCAGACAAGGGACAGGCTTTTCCCTTCAGGTACACGGTTCCAGAAAAGGCAAAAAGAATGAGGTCGAAACATAAAAGGCATGATCAGACTGGCAAAGGAGGAGAGACTAAGAGCCGGTTTTCGGGAAAGAACAAGAATCCCTAGTGCATTCTGGAACAGGATTGCAGGTGACCATGCAGACAAAAGACAAGTGTCATTTCCCCAACCACACCTCTTCCAGGCACCGTTACCTAAGGGCATGAAACAAAACTTGAAAACCATTACTTTACCATCAAGGACTTAGCTGAGAGGAGGGCATCTATACAAAACCTTTCTTTATAAATGAAAGGAAAAAAAGAAAAAAGATGATGTAAAGAATGAAGTTCTCCATAAAATTAAAATTAAGGCCATCTGGCCACATGATTTCACCACATCAAGATTTCAAACCAGTCACTCTGGAAAACAATCTGGCAGTCTGTCAAAAAGTTAAATGTAGAATTATTATACAACCCAGCCATTCCACTCCTAAGCATATACCCATGATCACTGAAAACACACATCTGCTCAAAAACTTGTACACAAACGGTCACAGCCCAAAAGCAGAAACAACCCAAATGCCCATCGGTTGATGAATGGATAAGAGATATGTAAATCTTACATCATGGATGAACCCCCAAAACACGATGCTGAGTGAAAGAAGCCAGACGCCAAGGCCACATATGTATGATCCCATTTTTACCAAATTTCCAGAATAGCAAATGTATGAAGACAGAAAGCAGATTAGTCGCTGCAGGAGAAGGGGCCGGGCAAGGAAGGGAGAGTGGCGAGTGACTGCTTAATGGGTGTGGTGTTTCTTTCAGTAGTGATGAAAATGTTCTCTATTAGAGAGTGGTGATGATTGCACAACTTTGTGAATATACAAAGAAAAAAAAAAAAACACTGAACTTCTCACTTTAAGAATAAATAAACAAACAAAAAGGGTTTCAAACCAGACCTGCTGATGACGTGAGTAGGAAAAAACATACAGGTACCCACACACACACCTATCACTGCCCCACACATCAATCACTAAGTGGCTCTTCCCAAACCTTGCTACCCTGAAATGATGCCAGAATTGACACTGAACCACAAAAGACCAGTCCACCCATATTCACAGGCTCAGAAGAATAACAATGATAATTAACAACAACTAGAATTTATTGAGTGTTTACTATGTGTCAGACATTCTACTAAACACTTACAGGGATTAGCTCATTTCATTTCTCATAGAAACCCTTTGAGGTACACATTGTTCTCATCCCCATTTTATAGATGAGGAAATTAAGGCACAAATAAGTTCCATAATTTGTGCCCAGTCACCCAGTTGGAATTTTCACCCCAAACAATCTGACTCGTGAGGACTATCCATACTGTTCTGTCCCCCATTGGCTCCATCCTCCTAAAAATCACTTGCAAAATGTACCGACTTACAGTAAACCAGGGCAGGTCAAGATTTTTAACTCCAATAGCAATCCTGGATGGAAGACTGGAAAGACCCAAGGCACTGAGAAGGAGTGCTGTATTTCTAGTGACAGTGAATATTGACAAGTTGGATGTACAAGCCAAGCATGAAATTCTAGGTTGTTACCCACTTCATTTGGGACCAAGGGAACTTCACCAGATGTCTCCGTGCCCATGTTGACCCAACAATCTAAGTGGGAAACCATCAGCAAGGGCACACAAAAACATTGTGTATTGTGTGTAGAATTGTTTATATATAAAAGAACGTGACCCGTATGTTTACATACATGTGCGCTCACTAAGCAGTGAGGGGCAGATGGTAAATCCCAAACCCTAAATCATAGGAGTGAGAGATGAATAAGCAGAAAGCAATCCAAGAAGACTGCTTGGGGGCAGGGGTGGGGGAGGGTGTTGAGAACCAGCATTTAGGAGGGGCAGGAAAGATCAAGGTCACTCCTTGAGGCAATGGTGAGGGGAATAAGAAGGCTGGATTGTTCCTAGAGCGGCCAGGATGCCTGTCTAGTTAAATCAAGGAGTCCGCAGTATTTAATATGCTGGAAAATAAGAGTGGGCAGGCAGTAAGGGGATACATAAGACCTCAAAAGTCAAGGGAAGTGTTTGGACCTGACAGAGTAAGAAAAGGTAAATCATGCTTTGGAAAAGTAACGAAAGCTTTATCTTGTCAACTGCACATTGCATAAAAAAACACTGGCTTCAATATTTGCTTACCAAACCCTTGACTTTCACTTCACGTACTGTTCCCTAATTCCATGTTAAATCTTTCGTTTCTATCCTGTCTACCTCCAAGGCATGCCCTTGTGGAACCTTCGTTTCATCAAAGCGGAGGTACAAAATAATTGCTTAAAATGACAGCCCCGAACAAAACTGTGTCCTACGGCCCTTCAACAAAGCCACGCCAAATGTGCATCCAATTTCCTCACGCTTCCTAACTTCACCTGTAATGGAGACCACATCCCAGTGAACAGGATGCCCCTTCAGAAAGTAGGCATTTTTTTAAATGTGAAAAATATCCCCTGTGCTCAGTCACTTAAATTGTCTGTCTTTGGTAATAAACTCGAATGCAAAGTATCCAACTTGTTTTTTTCCCCCTGGGTGAAACAGAAACTCACAGGCGTCCGTTTCACTGAAATACGCCTATCCGTACGCAGTCGGTCACAGCAAAGGACCCAAATCGAGCCCCTTTGCAAACTTCTCTCCGGTCCCTCCCTTGGCGCGGATTTCCACACGCATCCACCCGGGTCTCCAGCGTCTCCGGGGATCTGTGGCGGCGGGCAGAAGTCTCACCCAGGGGGCAGGGTCTCCAGGAAGGGACCAAGGGGCGCCTCAGGGGGCACCGCGAAGCCCAGCCCGCCTCCCCAGCTCGGACCAGCGCGCAGGCACCAGGCTCCGCGCGGCCGGCCGCGCACCCACCTGACCAGGGGCTCCTTCTCGGGCACGGCGGGCCCCTCGAGGCACCTGCACGGGCAGCAGCAGCACACGGTCCTCAGCCAGTCCCGCGGCCCCATGGGGAGCGAGGTGCCCCACGGCGCCGGCACACTGGGAGACCGCCGCGGCGGCGGCGGCGGCGGCGAGCGAGCGCGGCTGGGGCGCGGCCACCCGGCCGGCGTCCAGGTGCGGGGACAGTCGCGGGGCCGGGCGTCGCGGGCCAGTCCGTGCGCATCACGCCGCGGCCGGGGACGCGGGCGAGGCCGAGACGCCTGCACGGCCCAGGTCTGCGCGGCCGCGCGCTTTCCTGCACTTGGGTTTTGTTTGGGGCGCGTGTTGCGCTGGGGCTTTTTCCCCCCTCTTTTCTTTTAATTCCCCGGGCGCAAATTGGGACGCATGCGTCCCCGACACGCTCTGCTGCTGCCCTCTAAGGAGGAAGCAGGGACTCTAGGCGGAGGGCAGCACCGACGGGCAGCCCCGGCTGGGGGGAAGGCGGGGCAGGCCCCCAGTCGCCGAGCACGAGGTTGGCCTGAATCTATTCATACTTTTTATTGGCTTCACTCCCGGAGGAAATAAAAGGTCCTCCTTCCTACTCCCGTGCCTTCAGAGCAGTGCTTAGGGCGGATTTTTACCGCGTCAGCTCCACACAGAGTAAAAGCTACCAGAAGAGCACGCATTGACACATTACAGAAGTGGGTTTCTGGGTTTTTTTTTTTTTTAAGATCTTTTATTTTTAAGTCATCTCCACACCCAACGTGGGGCTCAAACCCCCGAGAGCAAGAGCCCCACGGTCCCCCACCCGAGCCAGCCAGGCGCTTCCAGAAGTAGGTTTTTTAAGAGTACTATATCGCGATGATTTTTTAAGTCGTTTTCAGGGTCACTGGTCCTTAAATAACTCCCTTAAAAAAGGGGGGGGGGAGTGTGTGAGCAACCTCTATCATTAGTTCCCTGCAATTTTCCAGCGCTATTTGTACTCTTTTTTATGCTTGTAGGAACTTGCAAGTATATGTACTTACACCCCCCCTCCTTTTTTCACCCAAAGGGTGACATACTCCACATATTTCTGCCCTGGCTTGTTCCACTCAGTACATCATGTAGACTGTTCCACATCAAGCCGTGTGTTTCTTCCTTTATCACTTTAACAGTTATATATTGTGGAGTCATACTGATGCCCGTATATGATTCAACCGGACCCCCTATTCAGGGACGTTTAAGTTCATTCCAACTTTTTGTCACTAAAATAATGCTGCAGGGCACTGGGTGGCTCGGTCTGTTAAGCTAGGACTCTTGATTTAGGCTTAGGTTACCATCTCAGGGATGGTTCCTGTGATCCAGGAGGTCTCTCTCTCTCTCTCTCTCTCTGCTCCAAATAAATAAACTTAAAAACAACAACAACACATATATCTATTGAGTAAATGCTTGGCAGCTAAACGCTGGGTCATAGGTAAGATGCCTCTTTAAATTTTGATGGATCTCATGATTGCTCTCCAAGGAGGCAATTCCAATTTGTGCTCTGACAGCAACATGTGAAAGCATCTATTCCCGTACGCCCCCACCAGTCAAGCTACCATCTAATTTTTCATCTTTGCCAGTCTGATTTACTCAGCAAATACTTTATAAGCATCTGTTATGTGCCAGACTTGTACCAGGCGCTAGGGATACAGCAGCGAACAAAAGAAACAAAAATCCCTATTCTCTTGGAGCAAACATTCTAGGCAGAGAGTTAGACAAACAAAACAAGTGTGTTCTTTAGTGTGTTAGTAGGTAATGTGGGCTGTGGAGGAAAAGAAGGCACAAGAAGTGCCAGGAAGGGGTGTGTGTGTGTGTGTGTGTGTGTGTGTGTGTGTGTGTGTAGTGGGGAGACGGATGTTGTCCGTAGTTTTACATAGGGTGGTCACAGAAAGCCTCCTGATATGGTGACATTTAAGCCAAGACTTGAAGATGAGCAAGCCAGCTATGATATCACAGGAAAGAGCATTTCAGGGAGAGTGAGACTATGTGCAGAATCCCAGAGGAGAGAGAATAAACCATAGGGTGCATGAGAAAGAGAATTCTAGGGGCCCTGGAGAGGTGTGGGCCAGTAGGAAGAGTAAAAGGAAATGATGGAATCAGGGACCACATAGGACTGTGCAAGGATGCTGGGTTTTGCCGAGCTAAGCTCCGAGTTGGACGGTTTTGAGTAGAGGGAGTGATACGGTCTGCCTGGGTGGTTAACAGCATCCTTTGGCTGCTGTCTTGAGAAGAAACTGGCTGCAAAGGGCTGTTTAGGGAGATACAAATGGAGGCCATTCTAATGATCCAGGTGATGTACCATGGAGAGAGCAGTAGAGGTGGTATGGACTCTGGATAGAATTTGTTGTTTGCTGTTATTGTTGTTGTTTTAATTTTTATTTATTTTTGAGAGACAGAGCGCGAGCAGGGAGGACAGAGAAAGAGGGAGACACAGAATCCGAAGCAGGCTCCAGGCTCCGAGCTGTCTGCACAGAGCCCGACGTGGGACTCGAACTCACGAACAGTGAGATCATGACCTGAGCCGAAGCCAGACACTTAACAGACTGAGCCACCCAGGCACCCCGTGAACGGAATTTGAAGGTAGAGCCAACAAGAATTGCTAAAGGATTGCAAATAGGGTGCGAAAAAAGAAAGAAGTGACTCTAGGTGAGGGCCGACCAGCTACAAAGGTTGAATTGCCATTGATTGAGATAGAGAAGAGTGTAGGGGGAGCAGGTTTGCAGGGGTGAGGAGGAAGAGCAAGAGTTTATTTTCAGAAGTGTCGATTCTCATGGGCAGTGGATTAATTTTTTAAATGTGTTGCTACACATAAGTGTGTCCTGTTGTGGCAACATTATAAGGCCGAGGGAGTTTATCAAGTCTGTGTTCGTTGACAGGCTGGCTACCGAAGGATAGGAAGCGGAAAAGGAGGTTCCTGTGACTGTGACTTAGCTGGGGAGACTGGATGTGGACCCATCATGAAAAACTAACATGACAAAAGTAGCAGCTACTGACAGGCAGCACGGGGCTGTGGTATCCAGCCTGGCACCAGGCCATTTATCACTTGCATCTGTGGCAGGACGGAGGCTGAGTGTTGCCCTGGATGGCAAACTTCCCACTAGCTGGAAATCCCCTTGGGTGAATGCACTAGGTTCTAAAACTGGTTTTTGAATGTGCATCAACCCACTTAGGTTCAAGCAGAAAGTCGGTAGAGAGGCCTGCCAAAATGTGAACTCAGCCAGCAAAAAGATGAACTCTCGGGTCTGGCAGCTACTATTAACTACTGGAGTTGAATTTATCGAGTGGATGAATTACAGAAGGCTTTCAGCTCTTGGAAGCTGTAGGTGCCCTGCCCCTTTACTGGCTTTGATCTTAGGCAAGTCATTTTTCTGAACCGCAGTTTTCCAATCTGTGAAATGGAGACGATGAATCTGGCCCTACTGAACTAGATACAGCTGTGAGATTCAAATGAAATGGTTTAAAAACCATAAAGCACCTTAGAAATATCGAAGTTCAACACTATCTGTTGGGGTTATTACGGAGGATGGCGAGATTATACACAATGCTTGGCTAGCTAAAATGTAACATGGAGATCTTGGTGGGGGCATGGGAACAGAAGGGGGGTCCCCCCATTCGGGTGGAGGCAGCGGGAAGCTACCTACATTCCCAATGGCTTGAGGAGTCCTTTTCACCTCTTTCTCAGGACAGACAGGTAAAGTAACAGCCTCCACGAGGCCCTTACCCGGAGGAAGGGATGCATCAGGAAGAACATCCACGTGTGAAGGAGCCAAAGCTGCTCGCACTGACCCCCGTGTTGTTAGGGCAGAAAGAGGGAACTTATAACCCTGTTCATGCTTCCGTTTCAGATTGGCACCCACACGTTGCCAGACGTCGACATCCAGAGTGCCGTTTTTGGGAAGTCATGGGTTAATATCTAAGGCAACCCGAAGCATATGCTGTAATTGTTTCTCATTTCTATCTGCCCCATTGGCTTCAAGTCACTGCTTTAGGACCTTGATATATCGCCTTTGTTCAGAGCATGAGGCTGCCCCACGTAGAAAGTCTTAATAACGCACAAGAGTAAAGAGAAAAGGAAAACAAAACCCAGGCCTGAAAAGTTCCAGAACTCGGCTCTTCTCGGAAGAGAAGCCGACGACTTACTGCGCAGACTTTCATTTTCGAGCGTCCCTTCAGGTCGGTCTCAAGCGCTCACACGGGGCACCACTTGCCAGGAATGGACGGCAAACCCTGTGCTCACGGAGGAAAGATTACTCCACACTTTGCTAGGAGAGACAGGAGAAGGCCTGGGGGTCAAAGTTTGCAGACAAAGACCCCGTTCGCCTCACTCGTATTCTCGTTTATTGTGGTGTCAGGTTAATCATAAATCTTAGTGGGCTTGTGCACAGAGGGCGTATGACATTCCAGGCGTGCAGGAACAAAGGGCACACGACTTAAAGGTGAACAAGCACAAGAGACTAATAAAATCAGAGGTGGGCAGCAAGGGCCTACGTGTCCTACTGTTCTGCTAAACTGAGAATACAATGTAGAGATAACAGAGTTCCCCAAGGACTGCAGAAACACTTGTCAGGGCCGCCCAGGCATTCTGCAGGCAGGGGGGCTATGCAGGCCTGGGCATTCCAAGGTGCCCGCACCCCCTCCAAGCTTAACTGCAGCCCACCAGAGATCTCCGTGTTACATTTTAGCTAGCCAAGCATTGTGCATAACCTCATCATCCTCAGTAATCATCCCAACAGCTATTGTTTTTTAATGCTTATTTAGTTTTGAAAGAGAGAGAGAGAGTACAGGCAAGGGAGGGGCTCGTTGAAGCAGGCTCACTGCTGACAGCAGAGAGCCCAACGTGGGGCTTGAACTCACCAACTGCAAGACCATGACCTAAGCTGAAGTCTGACACTTACCTGACTGAGCCACCCACAACACTATTGATTAAATCCAGTATAGGCCTGTTGGGCAAATGTGGATTCCAATGTTATTGGGCTTACCTATGACAATACTTCTTTTCGTGTTTGTAACTCTGCCTTGCGTGGGCATCTTTTACGTGGTCTGTTTCAGACATGATATTCTAGAAAGC